TACAGCACTGTTTGAAATGGCAAATAGTTGGGAATAACCTAGAAGAAATGGCTAGATCACTAATTAATTAGATCATAGAACATTTGTACCAAGGACAAGTTCAGTTTCTGAACAAGGAAAAGACCTCTGATATACATTGTTAAGCTGTTAAGCACAGAACAGTTCTAGGAGACTACCACTCCAAAAGGAGTGACAGAATGCATATCTATGGACTGAGGGTGTAGCTTAATGGTAAAATGCTTGACTGACATGCAGGAGGTCTCAAGTTCAACCCCCACCACTGCAGATCAATAAAAATAAAGCAGATCCACAAATTTATTCAGTGTGTGCACGAAGAAACAGGAATATACAAGAAATTGATAACAATGATTATGTCAGGGAAGGAGTAGGAAGAGAAATTGGCAGCTAGAAAAGGGAAGAGAAACTGCCACATTTTATTTTTAAACCAATTTAATGTGTTATCTATTCAAAATGTTAAATACCCTATATATATATATATACCCTGTGGGGAGAGTGGGGATGCAATTAGATAGTAGAGAGTGTGCCTAGCATGCTGAAGGCCCTGGGTTCAATTTCCAGCGCCAAAAAGATAAAATAAAGAGGGGTGGTGATGTGGCTCGGAGGTTGTAAGGGACAGTATCATTGTGGTCTAGTGCCAATGGTCCCTCTCAGGTTTTGACTGCATTAAAGTCTGTCCTCTACAATGGAGCTCGCCTACCTTCATCTTTTCCTAACAGAAGTCTAGCATTTAGGAGGCCCTGGCTTATTCCCTAGTACTACCTCAAGAAATTAAATTTAAATGTAAGTAAATAACAGAGCCTATCAGAACAGTTAATCCAATGGCTAGAATTCAGACCAGATGTGGTGACTCACACCTGTAATCCTAGCACTCACCTGTTATCCTAGCACTTAGGAGGCTGATGTAGGAAGAGTGTGAGTTTGAGGGCAGCCTGGGCTACACAGTGAGACCCTGTCTCAAAAAACAAAACAAAGCAAAGCAAAACCACTGACTACAATTCACACTGAAGGGTAAAAGTCTAATATTCATTCATTTAATAATCTATATATTATTAAGAAACTTCTCTAGGAATGCTAGTTAACAAGTTCTGAACACTTAACTAGCATTGTGGGGTAGGGCCAGAACTTCAGGCTCCCATCCTGGGACAGGACCAGTCCTGGGCATTCAGGACACCGAGATAAAGACAGGACCCAATGGTCAAGTGAGGGAGACAGATGTGTGAAACAGCAGTTTTACAGATAGGTTCTGAACAGGAAAGGGAAGGTTAGAGCACAGATCCTGAGAATGAAGGGATGAGGGGAAGAGAGAAGCTGCGGATAAAGAGAAAACCTTTCCCATGACACCTTTGGCCAAAGACAGGCCCCAAGAACAGCAGTGGAAGTCCGCAGCGTCTGTGTGGGAGACAACCCTTGCAGCCTCAGAACCAACAAGAACAAAGGCTGCTGTCTCTCTGGGAATACAGGAGATTTGACAACAGCATGGCGCGTTTCATCAGTGTAGACAACCCTCCTGGGCTCTGGAGCCTGAAGTGCCCTCCTTTAGCTGTCTACACAGATCAAATAAGCTGGATGGCTGCCATATCTAGACTTCACTTTGTGCTAAGCCAGCTTCGTAACAATCCTACCAAACCATCTGAGCAAAAACAAAAATAATTCTCATGGGCAAAGATCGACAGCTCCAAGATGGGAACATTAACTCCTTGCTGCCTTTTCAAAAGGGAATGGATATTGAAGTTAGTTTTAGGAAACCTTCCAGAAGAGAAATGTTGTGCCTCTCCAAAATAGTAACAAAGCTGTTTTCTCTTCCTATTCCAGGGAACCATATTAGAACACCACTCATAAGAGTTAACAATAGAATAGAGGTGGACCTGCCTTTCAGAAAAGCGACCCCACCCTAAACAAGAGGAATTATTCTATTTTACAAGTATCTTTTTATTCATACAGTTATTCTAGGGGAAACCTTATCCTATTCCTCACTGTCCCCAAGCAGCAGTAAGGATCTCAGGAAATTCTTGTCATGAAGACTGGCAGAACCAGGCATCTAACAACAAACCCAGAAGCCAAGTGGTATGGCTAAAAAAGATTAAAAATCTACATGAGTTCTAACATCGATGGTTCCTAGCTGTGGTTTCCATGGAAATAGACATCTGCTCTAGGGAGGAGAAAAAACGGTTGTGGTGGTGGGAAATAGTGTGCTTTAAAGTAATCAGTATTTTAAAAGATTAATTTTTATGTTATAACCTTAAGAGTCAGAAATGTGAGATATTTTGGTGATTTCTTATATTTGAAAACAAAATCAAGTGGGTGGTATCTTTCCTATGCAAACCTCTTGATAAAGTACAAAGACTTCAAGATAAAAGGCTGGTTCAGAGAGCAACAGACCTTTAAGCCTTGGGGTCCTACTTATTTGTGTTTCCGGCTTGTTACTTTTCAGCAAGGTCTAATCCCCATTCCTTTCTGGCTTTTTCAATGATTTCTGAGATTCTGCCTAGAAACTGACAGATGGATGCACCTGGCTGTTCAGAGGCTAAGTTTCAGAGAAAGAGAGGGAGGGAGAGAGAAGGAGAGTGGGGGGAGGCCTTTCAGGGTTCAGAATCTGAATCATTCCTGGTCCTGCTCACATGCTAACCAAAAGCCACTTAGATTGGCTGGAGGAGGCTGACCCCATACAAGGGCGATTGTTGGAGAAAATGCCTTAACAAGCATATTTCAAGCAACAATGCATTGCTAATTGTTTGCTTTGTGTGGTGTTTGCTGTCTGTATGATACAGTTTTCATTGTCCTGGGTACCAATTAATTGTATTTTATCTCTGACACATCCCTAGAGACTAACTAGATATAGGTGTCTTTTAAAATTAGGACCGGTGCTTCTGGACAATTGGTCATGTGTTTCTTGGATTGGAGAGAACAAACTCATTAACAAAATGATATCCTTTTTGTTCAGCAAGGATCTTGAAGCAGGTGCCTCGATGTAATGACCACCACCCAAGGACACAGCCTTGAGTGGGGGGAGGGGGGTGTGGTCAGAGAACCACAAACAATTTTTTCCCCTCATTTTATGGGGAAAAGGAGGCCAGTCATTCTAAGACAGTCAGAATTTGACCAGTTTCCTTTATGCTTCTGCTGTGGCTCTGATCTATCCAGGCCAGAGGAAACAGTGTGACCTTGTGGCTCCTATTGTTTTGATTCTTAAAAAGAGTCCAGCACTGTTCTAGGGAAGCACGTGCTCTAAGAACAAAAGCAACACTTAACTGCAGTCTGTGTATCTAGAACTGCTAGTGTTCTGCTTAACGCGGGCAAAGGCTTGGCAGAGCAGATGCAGTCTACTTTTAAGCTGAGTGGCTTTGTTAGACCACAGATCAAATTCCAGAGTCTCTTGCACAGGTCTCATCACCAGCTCAGGAGGTTGAGGATGATATCTGGCATGCACATAGTGAAGGAAGGGCCACGCCCATGACCCATTAGCACTGAGTGGGTTTAGGGACTATGACGATGTCGTGTCATAATACAGGTGACAAGCGAGTATTCGTGGTAGGGAGCAGGGATTAGGGGACCATACACGGGCGTGGCGGGGTAGTGTCTTCTCACAGGGCTGGGGCGTTTCAGGCTACTGCTGCAGGCTGACGCACCAGAGACGCACCAGAAAGGACAGTGTTCTGTCTCAGCGCTGTCTTGGAGGCGATGCGAGGCACTGGCTAGGCAGAGGAACACTCCAGGTAGCTAAGGTCTAAATGGTGGTGCTGGATCCCTATCCGGCTCCGTCCCGCCCTTTTTCTAGACATGGAGACACCCTTTTAGTACTGGGGGTCGACGGTAATGCTCTCTTCCGTAGTAAGCCGCCGCCCGGGGTATGGCTCACGCCCGGGAGAACCTCCCAGGTACCCCGACCCTCTTCATTGTCCTCCGGCCCCGTTGAGCCGGACTACACTTCCCGAGGTGCGCAGGGGTCCGAGGGTGGGGCCCGCTCGGGCGGGGGAGGGGCCGGCACGTGCCGCCGCGCTCAGCCAATGCGGAGCCCCGCGGGGAGGTCACGTGTCGCTGTTTGGCGCTTTTGTGAGCGCCCAGGTCTGTTGGTGTTCAGAGTGTGGCCAGGAGGCTCGGACCGAGCAGGTGGGTGCAGGGGTTTTAGAGACAACAGGGCGGCGGGCTGGGGATGGCGAGAGGGACGCAGCGGAGGGAGGGGCCGAGAAGAGCTGGGGCAGCAGCCCCCTGTGGAGGGCGACGGGCGGGGCCCCGGGCGGCTGGCGGGCGGGGGTCGCTCCGGTTGTGAGTGGTTCGGGCGGAGCCTTGGCTTTGTCTCGGCTCCCTGGGGGCGCGGCTGTCGTTGGGGAAGGGGCACGGCTGTCGTTGGGGAAGGGGCGCGGCCAGTTGTGTGGGCTCTACATGTGAGCCCCAGGGTGCCGTTGAGACAATAGGAGGCGTGGGTCTCTGTTCTGCCTGTGTCCCTCCCTCCCGGTCCCGGCAGACGCAAATTTTTTGGGGTCCCCATTGTCTAAACGGGCAGGGCGCGCCTCAGGAGCGAAGGCCTCCGGGCCGTCCCTCCTCGCAGTCGCCGTGGCCCGTGACTGAGGGACGATTCCTATGGCGCAGAATTCGGACAGCTGGGGGGCGACAGGTTGGTGGTGGAGACGACGGGAGGCGGTGTGGGGTCCGCGGCGGGGCCGCCTAGCGTGTGTTTCGCCGTCCCGCTCCACCCGTCGAGTTGCAGTGCGGGAGGTGGCAGCCTGGCAGTGTTTTTGGCGGGAGTGGGGGGGGCGTCGCTTCGTGGCGAGCCCGGGAGGGGCGAAGTTACCCGGATAGGACCGTTAGCTCCGCCCCTCCCGCCCCTTCCCACGCGCGCGGGCTCCCGGGTGTTGAGAGTTCGAGGAGATTCGAAAAGGCGCGGGGAGGAAGAGGGTGGGGCAAAGGGTGGAACGCAGGATGTGCTCTGATTGGCCGGAGGCGCCTGCCCGCTTGGCTCCCTTTGGCCAGGGCCACGCCCACGCCCTTTTCGTGCCCGGAGCGGTGGCGAGCGAAGGTTCTGTCCGGGTGCGACGGTCTCACTGCTGCAGATTTCAGTTTCTAGTTGTGGGAACCTGTAGTCCTACGTTTTCGGTACTAGCTTGGGGTTTCCAAGATTCATGATCTTAAAAGAATTGACAACGGGGTGTCAGATTTTTTTAATGAAATAAGGCAGCAAATATTATAATTTAAAACTCAAGGTTCCTAAAATTTAATTGTGCCTGCTGTTGGCCCAGAAGCTTAACCTCTAGGAACAATAGGAGTTGAACATTATTGGTTAATATTAGCTTGGGCGTTTTGTTATCCACCATGGTAGACACAGACAAAGCAAGGGTGGGTGTTTCATTTGCACAATGAGTTGTAGGGAGTACTGTATTAAGATGGCTTCGCTTTCATTGTTGGGTTGAGTCTGTAATATCTTTTTGTGGTTTGAAAGAAAAAATTGGTTTATGGAATTAAATCTTTCAACCTTTTGACAACCTCCTGTAATTTAAAAAACCTAGATGTTTTCTTTTGAATGAGCACCCTTAGTTAACTTTATTTCCTGGACTGGTGTTACTCAGATTGTATTTCCCAGTGTGTTTTCACTGTTTTTAAAGAAATATTTTTCTTCCTGGTTAATGATGTCTTTAATTCCGTGTAGTGATCTTTCTGACATTGATTTATGTGGCAGTGATTTGAAATCCCTTTGTGTCGGATGACATACAGAAATGCAAAGAAATTGATTGCATGCTCTTGAAAATCATTTTCAGGGTGTTCCTTACCAGTGGATTGTGTAGGATACACTGACAGTCTCTTGTCTTCTATTCACCATGGCTTCTTCTGGTAGGTAATCTGTTTAGAAAAGCAGAAATTGTGATGCGTTTAAGATTTTAGAATAGGAGGTGGCTCTAGTCTTTAACTTTTAATTTGGCCGTTATGTTATAGTTTTACCAAAAACCTGTTTTATGACTAGGAGAATTAAGAATAAATTATCACTTGACTGTTGTGAGAGCTTATAATTATTTCATAATTAGATAATTTGGCTTGGTCCAAAGCAAAATTGTGGCATTTGCACAAGTCTTTTTTATTTTTTAAAGTTTTTTATTATTAAAATAATTATTAAATACTGATTTTTCTTTTCTTTTTTTTTTTTTTTTTCTTTTTTGTCTTTTTCCTTTTTATCGGTACCGGGGATCGAACTCACGACTGCCTGCTTTCAAGGCAGGCGCTTATGACGCTGAGCTAAACCCCCAGCCCCATAAATACTGATTTTTCAAAATAATACTTATTCAAAACTATTGAGTTTTGTTGAAGGTAGTAGTTTCTTGCCTACAAATGCATCTTCATCAGACCTAATTCTGTACATTAAAGAGACCTGTTTTTTAGAAAATTACAAAGCCATTTATTGGAATAGGAAAACTGCATTTTTCTCACTTATCATAAATATGATCAACTCTAGATATTCAGGTGAAAGAACTGGAGAAGCGTGCTTCTGGCCAGGCGTTTGAGCTGATTCTCAGCCCTCGGTCAAAAGAATCTGTCCCAGATTTCCCTCTTTCTCCTCCAAAAAAGAAGGATCTTTCACTGGAAGAAATTCAGAAGAAATTAGAAGCTGCAGAAGAAAGACGCAAGGTAAGCTAACAGTTCACAGAAAATGGGGTATTTGTTCATGTAATGGGGTCAATTGTTTTTATTTCCATAACTGGAAGAAAACAGTTATAACTATACTGGTACTATTGCTATGAAAATTACGAATGTCAGTGCTGCAAGAAAATGAGTCATTATTTATTGAGCTCTTAATTATGTGTCACCTCCTTTACTTTTATTTTTCTTTAATACAGTTACTTTATGAGCTAGCAGTTGTTTGAGATAATAGAAATTACAAAATAGTCATAGGAATGTTATTTTCCTGAAGTCATACAGCTAGCTAGTAAGTCTTGTAGTGGAGAATTCAAGCTCAGGTCATTCTTATGCATGCTCTTTGAAAAATAGAAGATTTGTAGGTAGATGATTCTTTGTCTTTTTAGTTTTTTTGAGAGCTATACAACAAAAATATTTTGAATTACTAGTAATGTGATTGTATTGTTCAACTGATACTGTGATAATTTTAAGAATTATAAAATGCTATCAACAAGTACATACTTAAATTTGAAAATAGAAGTTTGTAACTGGGAATTAAGAGCATTCATTATCCTAGTTCTCAGAAATAACCACTGTTTATATTTTGGAGTGTTTCTTTCCATCAGTATTATTCTCATTAAGAACTTCACATTAAAAAGAAAACAACTTTTCATAAATTCTCATTTGTCTCCCCATTCCCACCAACTGACAGAGGAACTAGGTCACAAAAAGAAGTATGGCTAGAACGCGGCTCACTAATAAGGCATTTGGCCTAGTGAGTCCCAAGTTCTATATCCCCAACAACAGAAAAAAGATAAAGTAGTAATGCAACCCAGATCGACAGCTACTGCGATTTGAAAGTTAGTGCTTGTGCACTTGCACACGCCCCTTTTTAAACTGCTATAGCGTGGGTCATACACCTTTCAGTGCTATGTGCTTCGAGTATGTGCTGACCCATTGCCAACAGAGTGAATCATCGCCCTTTCCATGACCTTTCATGTAGTTTTGAGTTCATAGAATAAGAATAAGAAGCAGTACAGCCAAAGGCTGGATTAATGGGAAGATTTTTAGGAGTCACTCTTGGTCTTGGTGATTATTAGCCTATTTTACATAGTAATTGCTAAATACAGTGAAACTGTTGACTAGGGTATTACAAAAGAGAAAGAATAGAACCACTGCACATTGCTGTGTTACAACCTACAAGTTGATGCCTCCAAACACTTGTGAATGTTTGTCAGTTATGGGTGAAATTTGTATAGTGAGCTAGTTTTCTTTGAGAGCCTTTTCAAGTTAAGCAACCAGAATTCATTATAGCGAAGGATCATTCCTGAGTGTCTGTTACTCAGCTCATTTAGATATCATTAAATAATAAATCTTAAAAGGATTGTCTTAAATAATGACCAAAAATAATCTATGGGCAGTTTCCTAAACACAAATGCTAGAAATAGAAGGTGATTTTCATGGTATATTATAAGGATAATTCAGGTTCTAAGTATTTCAAGGGATCCTGGTTTTTGCCTCTAGATCTCCCTGATAAGTAATTTCTATCTTAATTTAATTAATGCTAAAGATACCTAGAGAGAGGCTAGCCTGTTAAACTTTTTTCTAGTCCCATGAAGCTGAAGTCTTGAAGCAGCTTGCTGAAAAACGGGAGCATGAGAAAGAAGTGCTTCAAAAAGCAATAGAAGAGAACAACAACTTCAGTAAAATGGCGGAAGAGAAACTGACCCACAAAATGGAAGCTAACAAAGAGAACCGAGAGGCACAAATGGCTGCCAAACTGGAGCGTTTGCGAGAGAAGGTTAGTTCCTTACTTTGTAGAAGGGTTAAGAACTGGAAGCTTGGCATACCAGTGAATTGGCTTGAACTAATTGCATTGATAAAGATGTTAGATGTCTTTTTGTCATAAATTTTGGGACTTAAGTCATTAAATAAACCTTATTATGAAGATGGAATATTGAACGTTAGGGATGTATGTAGCTCAGTGGTTGAATGCTTGTCCACTATGTATGAAACCTTGAGTTATTCCCTAGCAACCTGAAGAAGGAAAAAGAAAAAAACGTGATAAGAATATTGAGTTTGCTATAACATAATTCTGTGTTGTTTGGAAGATCAGTGGGAGGTAGATCCAGCAGGTTGGAAGATGATTTTTTTTTTTTAAATAACAGAGGATCAAACTCACAATTTCATGCTTGCCAGGCAGGCAGTTATACCGCTGAGCTAAATCCCCGGCCTTGGAGATGATTTTAGATTTTAGAATTCTTCATTTTGTGATTCCTGCAGGCTTCTAATACATGTGCGGAGGCTGTGTTGGGCCTCTTTTCAGTGGGTAGTATAGTTTAACAGGTTTTTTTTTTTTTTAATTTGACCTCTTGATAGTAACATACAGTTTCTTTACAGGATAAACATATTGAAGAAGTACGGAAGAACAAAGAATCCAAAGATCCTGCTGATGAAACTGAAGCTGACTAATTTGTTCTGAGAACTGACTTTCTCCCCCTCCCCTTCCTAAATATCCAAAGACTGTACTGGCCAGTGTCATTTTATTTTTTTCCCTCCTGACAATATTCTAGAAGCTGATGTAGGACTATATAGGTAGATCCAAACTGTAAGATATTGTTTTAGGGGCCGAAGGGGAGAAACTAAAAGTGTTTTACTCTTTTTCTAAAGTGTTGGTCTTTCTAATGTAGCTATTTTTCTTGTTGCATCTTTTCTACTTCAGTACACTTGATGTACTGGGTTAATGGCTAGTACTGTATTGGCTCTGTGAAAACATGTTTGTGAAAAAAGTATGTAGTGGCTTCTTTCAGATTGTTAGATCCTAAATATCTTGTTCATTTTCAATCCCAATTCTGTCCCAATCTTACCAGATGCTACTGTACTTGAATGGTTAATAAAACTGCACAGTGCTGTTGGTGGCAGTGACTTCTTTCTGTTCAGGTAATAAATTGGCAAGTTATGGAGCCCTCCTAGTTTATATTTGTTCCAGACTAAGCCTTTGGGTTGGTGGAAATACTCAGCGTGTATATTACTGCAAATTCTCTGCCCTGGGTTTCTTGCTCCAGAGGAGGTTGCATTGTCTTCTTCCACAATCAACACTTTGTGTTGATGCCTTAGCCCCGATCAGCTGTTACTATATTCTTTCAGATGTTTATTTGCAAACAAGCAGCTTTTGTTTTTCTGTCCCTTTTGAAAAAACTGATTAAAGGCACAAATGATTTTTCTAGAAAATAGTTTGGAGGAAATCTTAAGATCTTAGAATATTTGTTGGTTTGTGTGCTTACTCTTATAGTTGGGGGTGATGGTGCAACATAATACTATACTTCTATAGAAGGATGAGTCTCAAGTTGGAAAACTGATGCAGTTTGTGTTGCTTTAGCAGTTCTGTAACAGGAAACTAGTTTTTTCCAGAATAGTATTTTTGAGTGGTTGAAGTTGGCGGACATTAACATTGTTTGCAGAGGTCATGATACTAAGTTATTAGGGCACTGCCTCTCAATTCAGGGAAAACTTGGGGTACCATTTCTAGGCTTTGTGAGAAATAGCCTTAATTACATAAGATTATTCGCCTCTCCAGGCATCTGTATAAAAACTTACAGAAACCAAGCACCCATAGGAAAAGAACGCTTGCAGGAAAGATTTTATTACAGTGGAGGCTGCGTGGATTGCTAACATAACATGTTTCTGCAGCCCTGGCTAGATCTTGAGTTTTACCAAATTCATTTGTGAGAATAGTAACAATTTCCTGTGTTAGAATTTTAAGTGTGGTATGAATAAAGAGAGAGCATGCTTAGAGCTGTTGAGTGTATACTTAGATAACCTTGGTGTCGAACCTATAGTACATGTGCCACAGCAGGCTGTATTGAAAAGCTCTAAACCGTTTGCCATCACTGCTGTGTACTGATTGCCATTTCCAACCAGAGGCTAATGAATGATCACTTTGAGTTAGAAATGAGACTGCAGCTTTTAGGTGCCTTGAATTGACTTTCAAATTCACAATAGGTGGGGCTGGGGACTTAGCTCAGCAGGCATAAGCGGCTGCCTTGCAAGTGCGCAGTCAGAGTTCGATCCCTGGTATGGACAAAAAAAAAAAAAAAAGGAAATTGCATAAATTCACAATAGGATGGTTGGTTATAGGAGTGGGGCAAGAAGAAACAAGATACAATTTAAATAATGGTAAGGTTCTGAACAGTGGAAAGAGGACAAGAGGTAGCTTGGGTACAGTTCCTTAGCATTGGTCAACCTTGGTTCCTATTTTTAGCACATAGTACTAAAGATTCATGTGGGTGAAATGGTTCCTATGGGACTTTTAGTTTTTTAGTGGCACTATGGGTTGAACCTTTGCACCAAATCACATCCCTATTACCCCCATCCAACACAAAAGGGTCTCACTAAGACACCCAGTTTGGGGTTGAAGTTTTGATCCTTCTGAATTAGCCTCCTAGAGTACTGGGTGGAATTACAGGACTGCCACCACACTTGAACCCTGTAGGATCTTTAAGATACCAGTTGTGAGCAGTATTAGCCTTGAAATAGGAAATTTGTACCTGTGCATGATATAACTTGATACTTTTTTTTCCTATTCCCCTACCCTGGCTTCAACTCCTCTGCCCCTCCTCACTTAAAGATGCTTTGTTTCCATTTTTCTCTCCTCCCTTTTCTTTCCTCCCCTCTTCCCCCGTCTCATTAGTTCTTCCCATTTGAATGTTTTCTTCCTATTACGTTAGGAAGATTTGGAGTAATGCTATTGGTGTCCTACAGATGGCAGTAAGCTCTTTATATAAGGAAAGGAATAGACTTCAGGAGGAAGCAAAGAAAGATCAAAATAGGGTGGAAGTGGAGCCTCCCAGTTAGTTAAAACCTAGCATATTTGAATTCATTTACTCCCAGAAAGCAGTTCCTGGTCCCACCTTGTGACAACAGTGTCATGGAACTGAAGGGATATATCTTACACAATTAGAAATCCAAACTTTTCTGTTTCACCTCTGGCTTGAAAAAGCACTTAGTCCTGAGCTTGGTGCTATGAAGAAGATTGGGCTAGGTCTATTAAATAACTTCAATTGCAAAATTCTTTGTATGGGACTTGTGAAATGGAGTGTGATGGCCACACAGGTTCTGGGGAGTGTCCTCCAGTCCTGGTGTCCTGGGGCCAGCCTCACAAGTGCACCTCTTCTAGTGGGCCTGTCCCTCTTGGCAGCATTCTGTCATATGTTGGTCTCAAGGCTATAGTTTGCAGCCAAGGGCCTGTTGCAATGGATTTGGCTCCACTTTTCATTTTTAGTGGAAAATGAGTCTTGGCTCTTCCTGAGGTTTTAATACTTGTACTTTGTGATTGACTGGCCTCTGTGGAAGAGACCAGTTAAGGAGATGTGAAGGAGGCTCTTGAGTCAGCATTTAACCAGCCTGGACTATATTCTAGGGAAGGGAAGAAGGTGACGTGGGTCTCAGTGCATCTCTGCTTAAAGTTATATAACACAGCTGAGGATGGTACTGTGCATAGATAGTTGACCTAATGAAGTGTTGCTATAGTGCTTGCTAAAAGGAATAATCCCAGTGGCTGGCATGGAGAACTGGTAGACAAAAAAGGATTTAAGCCAGGCCTTCGAGAAGGATGGACCCAGTGCAAACCTTAAAAAGTGCTAAACTGTTCCACACAGCATGTGGCTTGTGGAAGACACTCCTGTGCTCTTTTTTTCTTTTCTTTTTTTTTAAATATCTTTTGAAGGCTTTAGAATCCAGGGGCAGTTGGGGCAGTGAATACTCATTTTAAGGGAGAGAAAATGAAGGCAAGTGATTTGACAGGAGAGTAGATACAGGTGCCAGCAACACTGGAGAGCTGAGGAGGGCTCTCAGGTTAGAGGGCACCTCGGAACTCCAGAGGAATAGATGTGGTTGGTACTACACTGGTAACTGGGACATGTGCTACTGGTCGTGGGAAACCAGAGGATGAGAAATAAGAGGTGACTGGGAAAAGGTGCCAGAATCTGCTACTGTTTATTAAACACTTACACATTGTTATATTGTTTTATCTCCACTGTACAGAGTTTAGAAAAAGAAAAATAACCATTGGACAGGTGATGTAACTTGCCCAACATTCTAATCTAGTAAGGGAATCTTTATCCAGGCTCCAGACTGGATGGGGAGCTCTTCAGAAGGGGAACTCTGGCAGCTCAGCCTTTTGCCCTGAATAGTTTTCCTATGTGCCAAATCTGCACCTCAGACTCAACTAATAGGTTGAAAACCCTAAATTAAGCCATTGCTACCTACTTAGAAAGGTAATTTATGACCATTTTAATTCCACCATGCCTTGGAAAGCTGTTTGTTTCTATCTATTCTGTATTATTAATTATATTTACAGTTCGTTTACCTTTCCAAGTAAATCTGCCATATGAGAGTTTGACTTACTGCCAATTCAGTTACATCACTTGTTACCATAAATGTGACTTTTTAGGAATAATTAGAAGATAAAGGACAAGCTTCTTATAGTAGGTGCCCTGAAGTTCCCTTCCCAATCCAAGACTAATTCTCTGCCTGGTTATTTAAATGTTTTTTTGAGATGGAGTTTCATGATGTTGCCCAGGCTGATGTTGCCCTTAAATTTATGATCTTCTGTCAGCCTCCCGAGAGCTGGTACCACAGTCGTGCCTCACCATGCTCAGCTTCTACACCTGCTTAGATTGCAGACTCTGCGATTTGGGCAATGTCACAGTTACTAAGAATTTCCTCATTGAGCTGAACCTTGAGGCCCCAAAACGTTACTGATGAGCTAAGAATCTTGGTACTTGCTTCTTTGCTCAAGTGAAATAGATTTTAAATGCCCCTGCATCTGAGGCCTCTGTCCGTGGAAGCTGGTATTCCGTCCTTGAGCACAGAAACGTTTTCTGACTTGTTTTATACATCCATCTAGATTTTTAAGTTTCTATTGATAAGCTCCAAAATGCTCAGTCTCAGTGGAGGGACTGCCCCTAGCTGGGAATGCCTAGCCTCCCAGCAAGGCCAGAGCAACCAAATCCTACCAAGATAAGTGGGTTGCTGAAGTTGGATCCAAGGTGGGAAGTGAGCCAGATGCCCCAGGTGGCAACAGATGGCTGCTAAGAGAAACAGCCTCTGGTTGTAGGGGCTTTTGGGCCCGGGGCCTCTAACTTGTGGCCCTTGGCTCCCTCACTAGCAAAAAGCTCAGGTATTCCTGGGAAGGAGGGTGTGTGTTCTGAGGACCTTTTACTCAGCCTTTTCTGCTCTCACAGCTCTGTACTTACTAGCAAGAGCTAATAATTATTTACATTATCTCATTGAATTCCTATAACAATCCTCTCAAGTCCATCTCACAGGTGTGAAGCAATTGAGACCTAAATGATTTGTCCAAAGTGACAACTAGCAAGTGGTGGTCAAATCAAACCCACACCTTTAACCTCCATTCTATACTGCAGCTCCTCGTGTGTCACGAATGTATTTCATTAATTATGAAATTGTTTCAAGTTGTGTCTCTGCAGGTATAATGCTGGATCACCAAGAACAGGGACCATGCCTAACATTCACCACTGGACCTCTAGCTGTGAGCCTCATTTATTTATATACATACTTATATAAATGTGTACTGAATTAAATCTTTAAATGAATGATGAGTCTGTGGTCCATACTGAGGCACCTACTTTGTCCTCATCCTACTAGATCCTATGGGAGTCAGTTCACAATAGAAACAAAGGATGCGATGCCTATACCCCAGCTTTAACACTAGCCATGGAAGTGTCCAATCCTTAGTAGAATCCTTGTAGATCCAGAGACTCAAGTTGGTGGCCTGAAGCTGTTAGTCTGAAAGCAAGCTGTTAGGCCATGCTGTGTGTTAAAATTACTAGTTGATAGCTCCACATGATTTTAGGCTTTTGAAAAACTATTACGAGTGATGCTCCTGGTTATATGGTCC